GAGAGAGAGAGAGAGAGAGAGAGAGAGGCGGAGAGAGATGTTTCTCTTTTTTGAGGTTAAACAATTTGTAAAACAAAGGTTGTGGTACCTACTTCCTTTGTCTGCCTCTTAGACAATTCTCTTTGAGAAGCACGTGTGTGAGAATCCACATCTGCCTGAGGAAGCCATTCATAAGACAGACAGGCATTAGAGACTTCTGAAAACATTCTGATCCTACCCACTGTGAATAATGTGCTCAGCCATTGGAAAGGTATTGCTGGCAAAGCACATGATATCATGACAGAGACAAGTAGACTTCGTTGTCACACAGGCCTAAAAACATTCTTTGGTCCACCCCTTTACTGAGTGTGGTAAACAGGGCTGTGAGCTTGTTTTATGGCGCCCCCTGTGCCCCTGTTTCATTGTGAATCTTCCCAAGCTGCCAGCATCATCAGAATGGAATGTCCCCTATAGGATTTTTAGGTCCAAGCTATTTCAAAGTCAGGTCAATATACTGCGTAAGTGAGAGCACAGAAGACTTTGAACATCATGAGGATGCTCCTCAGAGGTCTCAACAGAGCAGCTCTGTATCTTTTACACTGTGAGTGTTCCACTGGCAACCGCTGAATGAGTCCCCACATTCATCAGTGACTATCACACAGCATTTCTCCCCTTAGATACAGAACAGTCTCAAACAACCTGGTCCTGCATCATCTTCATGCATCAGGACTGTATATTGTTGGTCCTGAATCCTTCTCCCAACACACACATTTCTTTGACTCATATAGGTGATGTAAATAGAGCAGAGAAAGGGTAAACTTATATTCAAACAGTAAAGTCTAGTTAGAAATTTTCATTGTATCAACATAATTTGTATTAAGCATTGCCTGAAATCAATAAAAGTTTTAAAAAATAAACAAAATCTGTTCATCTCATTTTACTAAATTATTCAACATTCAAGATTTTGAAAAGGTGGGCCTTGGCTAAAACCAGAGACCATTATCCATCCTGTCCTCCTTTTACAAGAGGAAAAGCACCCACTTGCCTGGCCATGACAGGAGAAAGCAATTCCCCAAGAGCACTCTGGGTAGAGAGGAATCAGTGTAACTCCTGAAGATCATCTCTCTCTTTCAACAGTGGCATAACTCCACAACTCAATGTTGTATGTTGTGTGTGGTGCTAGGGATTGAACTCAGGACTCATACATGCCAGGCAGATACTCGACCACCGAACCACAACCCTTTTTGTTTTATTTTGAGATGAGCTTGCTAAGTTTGCCCAGGCTGGCATCTGACTTGGAAATCTCCTGCCTTAAGCTCCCTAATAGCTGTGGTTACAGGCGTGGACCACCATGCCCAGCTGCAAAAGATAATTCTGTAAAAAAAAAAAAATTAACATTTAGAATATTTTATGCTTTCAAGTAAAAATTGATTTGCACTATACTTAAGCCACCTAAATTATAATCTATAGAGTTCCCTTTAGCAAAAAGATACCTAATCCAGGCATCCCGAGAGCATTGTCATAGTAGAACATACCAACAGATGCAGAGTAAATGGTGGGATGACAGTTTTCTTGCTGTGTGGCAGTGTTACTGTAAAATCTCCCACACAAGGAGCACCTAGCTTCCTGGGTTGCGATCTATCTCGATAATACTAAAGTTGATGGCCATGGCCCTTTGGGGCTAATGAGTTCTTTACAGTACATCTTTATACTTTTAACTGAGGTTATTATATGCCGTCATTAATAGGCTAAGGAAAGAATCTGTTGCTGTCAACAGATAGGAGGTAAGTCCTCACAATTTTCTTGGTCTATTCTTCTATGTCTAGAACATCCACCTTTTCTGAAAAGCTGATGGAGATATATGCTGTTACCATCCTGCCGACGTTTATCACTTATCTCTGAAGCACATAGTGCATCCAACTTACCCACTAACAGTGCCCTATCCTAATTATCATTGCTTACTCAATGTGCTCGTAAATGTGCTACTTTTACACAGAGCATTCCTATGAAGTTCTCATGAACTCAATCTCTAATGTGCATTTCTATAGCCAATATTTATTCACAACCTGTCAAACCAGTGTTTTGTTCCTCAATGGTATTTCTTAGTCTCTAAAATCCATCTGAACCTTCTAATAGGAAAAAATTATCTTGATAAAATTCCAAAGAGAGCTTGTGATAATGGCTTCAATGTCATAAAAAACATGATACTGTGTATTTTCATGAAAACTGTGTGAATAATCTAGAGCCTGAGAGAGAAGCCATTGTACCCTTTGCTCGTTTCTTCACCTGCAGAACTATGGTAAGCTTTTTCCTTGACCTGATTCAACTGCGAGGAGAAACAGCTAATAAAAAGTGTTATGAAGTACCATGAATATTGAAAAGTGCATGATCATCATGATTAATTATAATACATAAAGTTCAAATATTGAAATGACTCTCTGGCATCATTCCAAATCAAGAAATATAATCTCTGGTCTTGCATAGTAATGAAGAGAAACAGTGTGAGGTCCTCTTATTGTACCCGTTTAAATGAACGTGGTGATGAATATCTTTAATTATGGACTGTATTCTGTAACACTGTGTATGTGAGTGTGTGTGTGTGTGTGTGTGTTAAACTAAATGTATTGAGATCTCCACAATATATTACAGATTCAAAGGGAACCCTAACCCAAACTTTGTAGGCATTTATGTATCTGAATCTTACCTTGGTATGAATGTTCATTTTGATAGAGGATAGAAACAGCTAGCAACCCTCACTTAAGAGGCTGGCTCTGATTTCATAGATATCAAAATCTGTCATCCTCACGTTAGCCGACTGTCTGGCACCTAATGAGAAAAACAAATTGCTTTTACTTCCTACGTAAGACATTTGCATTTGGAATTTTTTTGCTCGTAAAAGGTTTATAAAGCATCCACTCAAACCATTTTACCTGCATTTTTCACCTAAAAGGGTCTTTATGAAATCTTACAGTAAATTTAATAACCCTCTTCAATAAACATGAGCTTTTATGAGCATGACATATCTAAATTGACTCAATGGTCTGGGAATAAAATCTGCATCAGTAATATTTTCAAAACTGTAATATGCCACATTTAAAAAAAAGAAAAAGAAAAGAAAAAAACCATGAACAGAGCAGACCATTGCGTACGGAAATGCATTCATTTCCAACCTTAAGAAAGCAAGTGGTCCGTGAATGCTTGAGTGACTCAGTGAACTGCCCTGATGTGTACAGCATCGAGCTGCACAATATTCAAGTATTAGCAGCTGTCATTTCCTTCCATCTTCATCAACTGTGTATTATAGAAACAAATTAGGAAATGGCCTTTACCAGTCATCCCCATGAGTCTCTTCAGGAAAGGGACTTCCTTCCCATGAAGCATTTCTCTGCTTCGACCCCCTCCTCAGGGACTTCTGCTTGAGTGATGAAGCCGAAGGGCACCCTATTGCTCTGGGCACCTCATAGCTACTTTTACCAGGTAAGCTGCCAAATTAGGCATGACATGGAGCCCCTCGTTTCTGCTATTGCTGGTGCGTATCCTTAAGGAGGACAGGAAAACACTAGCGACTTTTTTTATAGCTGCTATATAACAAGAGAATGAAATGTCAGAGCCCAAGAAACCCCATCTTTCTCAGTCCTGTCAGAGCTCATCGAGGGCTAAGAATGCTGCGGCTTGCACCTCACCTTCAACTTGGTCTTGTGAGCAGGGGGTGATGGGAATTTTGGCAATGCAGAACGGCCTGCCCCGACAAGACATCTGAGCACACCATCAGTGCCTGTGGTTCATCCGAACGTGCTGAGGGCTTGGGTGAGCATCCAGAGATGCCAACCCTCCCTCTGACAACCTACTTCACCTCCGCCACTTCAACACACTCCTGAAGTTGTATGGAAACTCATCCCTTGAGAATCAACCCATATGTTTTAACACACCAGTGAGGTATGTTTAAAAGTAGGATAAAGTGCTTAAAATACATTTTTGAAATTCTTTCAATTCTATCATGTTTTACATCAAGATTTGTATAAAGTCAAGACTTGCTCAAAGTAGACTACATATGGGAACAGAGACAATAAAGCCACAGATTTAGGCTGAGGAAATGGCTCAGTTGGTAAAGCACTTGCCTCACAAGTATAAGGACCTGAGTTCAGGTCCTGAAAACACACATGAAAAGTTGGGTGTGCCTGTAATCCCAACAATGCAAGGTGGAGCTTTACTGGCCAGCTAGCCTGGCCTACGTGATAAACTTCCCAGCTAACGAGAGACCTTATCTCAAACACTCAAGGTTGTCCTCTGACCTACACACACACACACACACACACACACACACACACACACACACACACAACACCCCTGTGCACCCTGTCTCAAAAGTGCAGAGTATATGGCTCCTGAACCATGTCCTCTGCTACACACACACACACACACACACACACACACACACACACACACA